CCCACAAATGTGCTGCATGTGTGCCAGCCCATAAATCTGGCCCTTCTCTTATCCGACTCTTATTGTTGTGCTTAAATCCAGTTTACATGCTCAGCACTCATTAGCTGATTGTGTGTATAATTTACAAGTCTACTCAATGCTTTACAGAAGTTATAAAAGGAAAGATATAAAAGAAAATGATCAAGTTCAGAGAAGGTCACGTTTCTGGTCTTTTCACAGTAAAGGCCGCTCTTTCCCTCCTTTGAAGAAGCAACACACTAAAACCAATTAACTGAAAAACGCTGTATCAGAATTTTTCATGATCTCAGTGGATTCCAGGTTGAAGAAATACTTCAGTGTGCACCTCTAGTGCCAATCAAAAGTAAGATCACTAGCTGGTTTCTGTATCTGCTGCCTCAAAAATAAGAACCAGATGGAGTTAAATGTTATGACTGTAAAAACCAAGTTTGTAAAATTCCAATCATCTAGAAAGTCCGATTTTTCCCCAACCCAACCTGAACCCTCTTAAACAAGCTTTCTGCTCATTACTTTATATCATCTTCAGGAATAGCTCCACAAGCTTATTATTGGAGCTTATTTCTGGACATCACTTTTACATACATTTCAACTTCTGTGGACAATTTTATGATACTGAGACATTTTCTTTAACAACTTCAAAATGTAATCTTAAATTGTCTCATCGATAAATGATATGTTATGTGTAAAAATAGCTCTGAATTATTCCATAATTTAGATAGCATTTTATATTCAAATGGATCAGTGCTGGGGTCGTTGACAGAATAAATAAATAAGTAAATCCATAGAAAATGGTCAAGTTCAGGACAAAATTAGTACAAAAACAGCCAAATCTCAGAAGAAAAACCTTTAACATTCAGAAAGTCCAGTGAACTGTTCAAACTAATTAATCAAATATCAAAGGATCGCACAATAGTGTGGCTTCTTTGATTAAAAAAAAAGAGAGAGCTGGAGAGATTTTGCTATAAGTGTACGTCCACTTCCTGATAGGCGGCTTTCTGGGCAGGATGAAAGTGAAGAGATGACATGGAGTTCAGGTCATAAATGGGATTTGGACCCACAGCGTTGTGAGCACATGCGTTGAATCTTAGCCCATTGAGCCATGAGGACACCCCAAATGGTGTTTTATCTCTGGACCTATTGAGAGTGAGTATTGAACTGACAATCCCCGTCTTCTATGGAGGTGGCCTTTTACCTCAGTCCATTGTAGTTTGTGACTGCAAGCATGAGCTATCTGCGATCTATTGATTCCCACTTCATCTGGGCTAAAGCAACAGAGGGGAAGGAGAGAGGCCCTGAGAGATGGAGGGGAGAAAAGTTTGAAATGAAGAAAGGCAGGGATGCGCCTTTTAAAAAGGGATTATATGATATTGTTGGAACTTTTCACATTTTTTTTTATTTTTTATCTGCTGTAAGGTACAAAGTCAGAAAATAATTATTTGATGGAATGGCCTAGAATTGGCAAAGAAGGACAGGAGGAGTGGAGGCCAACAAATGCCACTTTATAAAGAAAGCAGAGGTGAAAGAGCAGCCCCAACAGTGCAGAAAATAAGGAAAAGGAAAGGAAAGGCGGGATACAGCAGTGTTTGAAAGAAAGGGTGCAAATTAAAGAAAGCAAAGGCGAGGAAAAAGGGGAGGAATGACCCTCTTTGCTCTCCTTTGCTTTGTACAGTGGAAATCCCTCCTCCTCACCATCTGTTGTCTATAATGCTCCATCGAGCCGAGTCTGTTTGTGTCACTTGTTTCATTATTTGAGAATTACAACACTTAGTCAAGGGCATACTGTATTTCCCTGTACCACAAATCAAAGACGACAAGGAACTTGTAATACATAAAACATGAAGTGTCCCTAAATAAGTTAAAACCTTTATGCTGTGACTATCACAAGGCTCTCTAGGTGGAATTAGACCAAAGACTGCAAGTAGAAGATGAACATAATCAGTTTGCACTGTTTTAAGTACACTGATTATAAGTTTTCTTTTTGGGTTTTTTTGGGGGGTCTGAATTAAATGACAACAAAATTCATTGATCCAAATCCCACACAGACAAAATAGAACATATTCCTTTTCTGTCATGTATTTATGCATTTGTAAATAGCTGGTGGTTTTAAGGACAAGTACAAATTCAGACATGTATTCTGATCCAGTTGCTGCTGTGTTGTCACAAAGTGAAAATTGCAATATCAAATGTTGGAGACTGACTCCCATCTAGTCACAAGTAACCATTCAAAGAACTGGAGTTTTGGGCTTAATTCCTCAGTCCCTGGGGTTAACTATTGAGTTTGCCCAGACAGTGGGTTGTGTCAGTGAATAAATCAAATGGAGGATATGAAAACGTGTGTGTGTCAGAGGATGTGAGGCCTGCCGGACGAGTAACTTTCTGTTTTTGGGGACATGAACAAAACCAGTGAGCATCATTAAGTGGGTCAAGTGACAAAGATTAAAAGCAGGGAACACCGTAACAGATGGTGACAGGAGAAATAAGGATGGGGAAGGAGTGAAAGAGATCTGGAAGGAGACTCAAAAAAGGAAACGGGAGATGGAGGGGAAAAAGCGGTGAAGAATAGTGAGATAGAAAAAGTAACAGGGAAAAAGAAAGAAAGTCAGAGAAAGTGAAATGAGACGATCCATCTTGGTGCATTAAGGGGGGGATCAGACCTATATTCCATCATCCCTGTCAGGACAACGCACACCTCTCCCCTCTCGCCCCTGTGTGCATCCCTCCATCCCTCACTGGGCTGCACCGACCAACATCTCACTGAGGAATCTCCCCACTAAAAACTCCTGTCAGGCCTGTTTCCCTGTTATTGTCCGCTTGTCTTCTCACCTCCATCCCTCACCCTCCCCCCTCCTCCTCTGACTCCGCTCCGCTCCCTGTGATTCCGGAGATTAAACGCTCCCTTGTTGCGCTGCGGGGCGAGCGTGTGTGTTTGCGCGGCGAGGTCCGAGGCAGGGCATGTTGGTACACACACGCGTGTGTGTGTGTGTGTGTCTTACCCCAACATTAATCATCTTTAAGGAGCTGACAAGCCCCCGTCTGAGACATCACACCACATCAACACTTTCCCCCCCCGTTCCTACCTTTCTCCTCCTCCTCTGGATTTATATGTCCATTTGCCTCTCCCGAGTGTTCATTTTCCTACGGGAACGTTTGACAGAAAACAGGGAGAAACCAAGCAGGAAAAATAAATTATAGGGCGGATGATAAAGAATGAAGGACAGCGGTGGCAAACAAGTTGAAATAATCTATGACGTCATGACTTAAGACAAAAAATGTCTCAGAAACACTGCAAATATTTCAGTTTGGGTCTCTATATGTTTTTTGTGATGTTCAGAAATTTAACCTTGACAGCATAATGCAATAAAATATCATTTTTTAATTAACGCTGTACAAGGCTGGTATTGTCATGGATTAGCAGTGCACATTTACAAAGGAAATGTAGGACTTCAAACTCCTCTTATTATTAGTTTTTTTAATTTGTTGGCATTATTTGTGTTCCATGATACCAAACTTCATAGTTTGCCATGGTTTAGTTTTGAATTATTTCTTATAAGTGTTTTGTCCTCAGGCTGTTTTTATGGTTCCGTGGCTGCAAATTGAATCTCTGATTGAAAAAAAGTTTCCATAATATTTGGGGCAGCTGCTCACTGATTCCACCTGCTCCCAAATAACAGAGCAAGTATGACATGCATGTCTAGCTATAATGTGCTAGTTTTGAGGGGGGGGGGGCGTATGTTGAATATTTAATTTAAATCAGTTCATGTTTTGTAAACCTAACTTTTACTGGCATTCATCGCTGTTTTTCTGTTGTCACATCACCATAAAACTACCAATAGAGAACGTTTCGTATTTTATAATGCAAAAGGAAATAGCCTCATATTGGAAATGAAAAAGTAAACTTAGAAAATTTTAGTTTGTGGCTGTACAAAAGCTTTTTTTTTTTTAAAAGCAAACATTGGCATATGATTGTGTGAGGAAACTTCAGGAGTGCGTTTATCTGTGGAATAGAAGGAGCCCCAGCGGAGGCAGACGAGGATTGGATCTTTCTTTGTTTGCTGTGCCGGGGGGAAACGGCTAACCAAAAACACAAATTATTTTGAAAAAGAAAAAAAGGGGGGGAGGGGGGGGGGGGGGGGGGGGGGGGGGGGGGCTGAGTAAGGAGGATGGAGAAACAAGGGCAGAAAGGGAAATATCCTAAGACGTGTGGAGGAAAGAAATAAATAAAAGAGAGGAAAAAACTAAAGACAGGAAGCAGAAAATTACTAATTGATGAAGCTAAAGAAAATTTTGTGAGCAAGGGCAAGGTGTAGAAAAAGAAAAAGCAGGTAGATAAGGAAAGGCAGAGGAAAAGAGAGAAGAGACAATCGATTACCTGTTTTTCAAAGTCACTTAACACAGCACAGTGAGGGAGGCTGGAACACACACACTCCTCTGAAAACAAGGCCGGGAGAGGGAAGGCTTATGTGTGTGTGTGTGTGTGTGTGTGTGTGTGTGTGTTTGTGTGCGTGTGATCCCTTCAAGTCAGCTCCTGATGAGTCCTCTTGCAGACCACTTTGTGAGCAAAGCTTTGCATCTCCTGAGAGCTGCAAATAAATGCACATAATGATAAAAGTGTGTTTTAACAGGGAAAACAAAAAGACAAGGCAAGTCCTACCTGTCCCTCTCGTTGCCTTGGTGACAAGGAGTCTAAACGGGATGTCCTGGCTTCGGGGTTGTCTTTTGTTTGTGGGCTATAAAAAAACTGTTTGATTGGCTGAATACAGGAAACGAGGAAGTGTCCTCCAACATTAAGCACCGATAGGATTTCAATAGCTGGTATTTTTAGACGGACCCAAAGGTAAACTTTGAGAGGTGGGACTTACTCGGTTGCACACGTACATCCACCGACACAAAGGCTCAGAGAGAACACGGAGTACAGTTTGGAGCGCACACACACACACACACACACACAGACACTCCACACAAACTACTGGATGCACAATGACATGCAGGCTAACACGAAAACAGGTGGGCCCCACCCTGTTGCCCTGCTGATCAAGGACAATGAAGTGAGGTAGTGTTGGCAGACTCCGTACAGCATTATCTCATCCACAGCAGGCACTTCTTTAACTCCCCCCCCCTCCTCCACTGCCCCCGCTTTGACCCGAGAACAACATTACACAATACAGACTGTATAGCCCTGTGTCTCACTTTTTCTAAGTGTGTAAGAAAGAAAGTGGATGTTCACGGGAAATCATTGAGCTGGATTCTCAAATTCAAAGTCATCTGCTCAATTTACTTCATTCTGGTTTAGCCCTCCTACCATGAAGCAGTGTCTTTTTTAATGCACAGAAGAAGAGAAAAAGAAACTTAAAGACTATTTTATTCATCCATGGTAAACCAGTAGGAGGAGTATCGGGGTGCCGAATTCTCTTTTGTCTTTTTCAGTTTTTTTTTCAAACTGTCTTTGTTTTTGTTTTTTATCCAGGTAAAAAGAAGATGTCCTTGTATGACAGCCAGGCTCCAGTCTGTCCCATTTGCCAGGTTCTGCTCAGGCCCGGAGAGCTCCAGGAGCACATGGAGACAGAATTAGAGAGGCTAGCTACCATATGCCTCAGGTAAGACTCAAAACCACAAAAGAAAATGTATTAGAACAAGGGAGACCAAGTTGAAGCTGGCGATGATGCTTTTAGATTAAAACAATAATAGAAAAAGGTGATGTTTGCTGGTTAGTAAAGCTCCGTGGACTGCACCTCGGCTCAGGCTTCCCGTCACACTCCGGCCGTATTTCTCCTGTGCGGAGACCTGGTGGCCATAAATCTGCATAAAAGGCAGAAGCATGCCGTCAACGTAAAGCTAAGTGTTTGATGCAGGGATTAGGATGCAAACCTGTGACCTCAGGTTCACAGCCGCCCCCCCCCTCCTCCCGGCGTGGCAGTTGCACGAGCCGCTTTACGACGGATAAATCAACTCCGAGCCCTTTTAACGATGGGACACAACCATTAGGATCCATATTTCACCTTCACCGCATGCCTGTGTACGTATGTGTGTGTTTGTGTGTCTGATACGCCGGATACACAAACACACACGTTGTGGGAGTGTTTGTGCGTGACCCGGCGTCCACCTAAGTGACCCGGCTTTATGATAGTACCCATTAACCCCGAGAAACAGGGCGCCAGATAGCGTCACCCCTTGTGGAATGACACTTCATTCCTCCCTGCTCTGAGCTGCTCGTGCTCCTGTCGTCCCTCTTCTCTGCTCATTCCTGCACCTGACGCCCTCGTTCTACCTCTCCCTCATCACTTGATTCTTGCTTTCAGTTGTCTATCCTCTTCAGTTGTCTAAAATCTTCCTTATTCTCTCTGATCCTTTCTTTTCATCCTCCTTCTCCTTTATGTATCAATTCCTATCCCTATCCCAATTCCTATTCCTTATTACTCTTTTTTACCTGCTATCCATTCCATTTGAGCATTTCCTGTCCTCTTCTGTTTGCCGATATGATATTGTCTTTTATTTCCACTGCAGAAGGCATACAAGAGGTGGTAAAACAACCACGAGAACAGAACAAAATCAACAGTATGCGATTAAACAGTAGAATGAAAGCCAGGGAGATATTCCACAGCTCATGGCCTTCAAAATAAGAATCAGTTCCAAAAAAGTAGGGCGTCCAAGAGGGAAAAGTGGATTCTAAATAAAGCCAAATGGAATAATGGGTGAACATTTAATCATCTTGTGATATGACAAGGTGTGTTTGAGTTTCAATTTTTTATGATTTATTATTGATAAAGGCATGAACCTGTCTTTCCCTCTGGATTCCAACCTGATGAAGCTCCCAACCATTTTCAAACACATTCTTCTACACCCCCCCCTCTCTCTCTATCCCTCTCTCTCTCACTTAGTCTCACATGCGTGCAGAGTTATTTAAGGAAATAGCATCATCCCTGGGTGAGATGGGATGGTGGCCAGCGTCACGCCTGGCTGATGTACCTACTCACCATTAACCCGCAGTCACACAAAAAGAAGACAGCCGGGAAGGGGGTGCAGGGCACCACAGTCTTAGCTGACGGGTGTTGCTCCCCCGTGCAGGGAAACACACAATTCTCTCAGCTTTGGTGAAGGAATGCTAACAGGAGACAAAGCAGAAAGTGATGTGTGTGTTTAGCATCTAAAAAAAATTGCCTCATGCCAAGCCGCGCACACGCCCGCTGTCTCTGCCTCTTTCTGGCTCTCTGCATGGTGGCCGCCACCATGGAAAGTGACAGTGGGAATTTGGTCCAATTTGTAGTAAATCTGCCTTTAATGACACCGGGCGCGGGCTGAATAAAGGAGCCGTGGGTATGGAAATGACGGTGTGTGCCATATCGGCCCGCTCCGAGTATTTGTTCCTATGCGTGTTTGTATTTATTTGCTGGCAGTGGTTTGATTACGGCGGCCAGCCTGTCCACTCTTGTGACCGGGAACTCTGTCACTTGTTCACGGGCCACAGCTTCCCGCACGGACACGGAAGTCACACACATACATGGAGTTTGGCAAATGGAAATCTATCATGCCCTGTACATGTGGGGGGGGGGGGGGGGGGGGGGGGGGGGGGGGCAAAGTAATCTACATAGACCATCACCCACCTCTTCTTTGTACCTCTCCCTCCTCTCCCTCTCCCTCCTCCACCATAATCAATTTGCCTCCACACAGCCAAGCCCCCACCTCTCAACCGCATGACACAAAAAGGCAAAAAGCAATCAGTATCTTGAGTTTCGCACCATCCCTCTATTCTTCTCCTTTTTTCCATTCCACCCTTCTCCCAACCAAGAAAAGACTTATTCGTCTGGATGTGACTTTGGGTGTCACCCCTCTGGAAGGGAGTGGAGGCAGCGGGCTGTCACTCACACGCAGATGTGTGTAGCTGTGTAGGTCTGAGGACGGGTAGTTTTGATGAATGGAACTACTTACAGACTCATGCAGTTTAACATCATCAGCTTATGAAACCGATTAATATTCAATCTAGCAGCAGATATAATACTGTTGTTTTAGACTGTGCATTTACATTTAAGACTAGCCTTAAACGGAAAGTCGTTGATAGGGAAGATTGCAAAATCGCTCACAGATCAAAGAGAAATTTGGATACATGTGATATGATACATGTGCAGGTATATAATCAATACAGTTTCTGAGTTAATAGATCCGAACCACTTCATATTGAGGACTACACTTTTTTGTTAGCTTAGTAACATTTCAACATGTTTCATTAGACTAAACTGACTCAGAATACTAAAGCCCCTTCATTTTTCCATGTTCCAAAAATCCCAATCCCAACTATTTGTTTGCAAACTGTAACCTGCCTGAGTCCTGCATAGTACAAAGTTGTTACAGTGTTAATATGTCACAGCTATTTCATATTCCTAAAGACCTGCAGAGTGGCTGGAGGAGAGGTGATTGTTGCCATTACACCCCAAATTGTCTCTGAAGAAAATAAAAAGTTATATTTATCACTTATTGACAAAAATCTGGTCAGGGTTAGGAACATAAAACATGTGGTGAGGTTCAGTGTTGTGTTGCCTGAATGCCTCTTTGTTGAAAACATCAAGCAATAAAATAAGAATTGTTACTGCGACACAATAAAAAAACCCAAAAGAGTCCACTCTATACTCACAAATGAATGCCCCACATCAATCTGTAGCAGTTCTTGGGGCTTGCGTAGCCTTTATATTTCTAAATATGAAAATATTGCACTAGGTTTGTCCAATGTATCTAAATCTAATGGAGTTCTCTAAAGAATTTACATAAAGAAGTCTTTTTATTACTTTGTTACCAGTGAGGGTTATAGTGTAATGTAAATGTATCTATGTGTGTGAGTTTTCTACCAGGGTGAGGAATATTTTAGAATACTTTTCAGCACCGGCTCAGTGAAGAGCAGATCTTTTTTTTTAGCCCACTAGATCGGTGTCTCTTTAAACTGGACACAAGCTAAAGAGACAGATCATTTTGTCATGCACTTCAGGTTTGAGAACTGCCTCTGCATTCCGGTTCAGAGGCTGTGTGGAACTACCGCTGTATGATGTGCGTTTGACCCCCCCCCCCCCCGCTTGTTGTTTCTTCCTTTTCCTCCCCACCTATCCTCCCCCCCCCCCCCCCACACACACACACCCCCCCCCCTTACCTCCCACCACGGGCTTTAACCGGGTCCCTCCTTCCTCCCCTTTTTCTTCCTGCTGCTTGTCGGCCGTGTTTGTTTCTATTTGCTCATTTCCACACCGCCCCTTTTGCTGTTTTTTTTTGACGTGACAGCCAGCTGGAATTTCCAGGCCCCTAACCCCCCGCCATCAAAAATTCATGGAATGGGGCGAACAGACGCGCGAAGCCGCCAGAAGAGGCGCTCCCTCTCTTTTTTTCCGTGGGTTTCTGTCCTCTTTCATCTCATCTTTGTGTTGCCCGCTCCTCCCCCCCCCCCCCCCCCCCCCCCCACGCCCCACGCCCCCCCCCTCTCTCTCTTGTCGCTGTTTGACACTGTCAACAAGCAGGTGGAGGTGGCTGTTATTGTTGATGCCTCTGCAGAGGTTCCAGGTAATGAATAAAAGAGAGATGGAGGGAGAAGGAGAGAGAGAGAGAGATGACAGAGGCAGAGATGGGGGAAAGAGTAAAAGAGGGATCTGTGAGGAGGAGGGTGGGGGGGGGTGTGATGGCAGGTTCTCCCTGCGTTACACGGCAGCTTGACTGTGTCACCCATGTTTTCGCTCTTTGTTGGTGGAGGTGAGGCCAGCACACGCGCACGTACGTGCACGCCCACACAGTCAAACACAATGTGAAAACGCATATGTGCATCCACAGGTGTTCCCAACACTGGAACGGCCATTAGTTACGCTCAGCACGTCAAAGCTGGGGTCCAGAGGCCGGACCCAAGCTCCAGGATTTCTTTTTTCTGCATTTTGTCAAACGCACATCGATAACTGCAGCAATTAGTTAACCGGCCGAACAGTCTGGACTAGACTACCAATCGCGGGCGGGGTTAAGTCAGAAAAGAAGGTAATGGCGGAAGCAAAGCGCCAGTGGAATGTAAACACGGGATGAAAAGGGCCGTGCAGGTCAGGGGTTGAACCAGCTATGTCACACTCGGACGGCCAGAGCGAGGAACGCCACACACACACACACACACACACCCTCCTCCCCCTGTGTCCGGTCATTTTGTCCCCCCTAAGAGAGCTGTCAGCATCCCCACATCACAGCAGGAGCTGACATGGGCAGCAGCTGTAGGGGAACTGCATCACAGTGAGAGTTAAGCAGAAAAAAACATGTCCCCTACTGAACTATCTCTGTGTTCAATATCAGTTTGAAGTTTAGTTTTCAGTGGGCCGATGTGCATATTGTTTAAAAAGCTGTCGTAAATTCAAACAACTTTCATAAGAGAAGACCTAGGACGCACAGATGATTGTTTGATTTTTCCTGACAATAACCAATAACAGCTCATATATTTTCCCTTGATACAATGTGAAATTTTACTTGGACCCACGTTGCATTTTTAAAAGATTTTGCCCAAAAGCCCGGCTGATGTCACTATAAAATCATTTATTTTTTCGTACATTTCCAGAGTCCCATAAGAAGCTGAGTAGTGCTGCCCATGAACCTTGATTTGGTTGATAAAAGTCAGTTTAAATTTATCAGTGCTTCCTCTCACGACTCACTTTCTTCTCTTTCTTTGTTGTTTCTGCACAGCAGCAGAATATATTCCAGCCCTTTCTCTTTGATCCGCCTGTTAGTCCCCCTCATGTATGAGTGAACCTGAGGGTCCGGGGCACTAAACAAGGCTACCTGGCATCTATGTCAATGTCAAGCCTGTTGAAACGCTTCACGAAGCTCTGAGAAATTAATCTCTGTGTTTTGGAGATAGGAAGAAGGGGGATGGATGCACTAACGGGAAAAAAAGCAGAGGAAATCAAATGAAATGATTGAAGAACAGATCAATTGAGGATGAGAGGGGTGGGCGAAGGCGTTAGAAAAAGTCATGGGAATAAATGTCATGAGTCTGTGTTGTTGGCAGAAAAAAGGCACACGTGTGTCAGTTTAATACATTTTGACTTCTCATGTTTCATCTTTAATCTAAAATGTCACACTTCTTTCAAGCTACGTGCAACTGGCCCTTTAACATCCCCTCATAGAAACTTTTTAAAGGATTTTCATCATCTTCACTGACCATCTTCACTATATTCAGAAAATAGGAACTAATATGCTAGAATTTCTACAAAGAAATATAAATGTCTGCTCTCACTGAATCCATTTCATTCCTCTCAAAAAGTAGCAGAGATGGATGGGAATAGGATCAAAGAGAACAGATGACGGTGAGCAAATTAGGAAAACAAGAATATGGTAAATTGGTCTCAAGTGGGCAGTTGTCGAAATTGGCAGAAAGTGCTTATTTTACCCCGGAAACTGCTGAACCAGCACAAAACATGTGCCCAGATTCTACTCTGCTCACATCCTGTCATGTAACGCCACTAAATTCCATTCTGACTTCCTTCTCCACAGCGGTAAGAACCTCTCAACCAAGGATGGAGCTGCCACTCCAGGAACCCCCAAGGTGAGCTCAGCCTCCAGCCTTCAGGCAAAGCATGTTTGTCGGGTCTGTCACTGATAGCTCCGTTCCTCTGCGCTGCACAGAGGAGGAATCTGCTACATTTTAGACCTCTGCACTGTATCCAACACACACACACAAATAAAAACACCGTCAGGGTCCCCTGGTGCAACGGGCAGTGGGACCGAGAAGCGCTGCTCTGGGATTGTTCCAATTAGTGAGAAAGAAAAGGCTTAAGAAGAGAGAAAAAAAAAGAAAACAAAGAAACTTGGTGTCAGGTCATAAGAGGAAAGATTTGTGATTCTATTGAGGTGCATTTCTTTTGCTGGAGTGTCAGTCTGAGAACTTAATGAATAATCTCTTTGTGTGACATCTTGCTTTCTCACAGTGTAATATTAAGTTGTCTAAGCTTTGAATATACTTTATTAATTCATGGTAAATAAGAATAAATAAGAATAGCGAGCTGGCTTGACCCTAATTCTTTATCTTAGTCACAATGGGACAAACTTTCTAATCTGCATCATTTTAAATTAATAGTAAAACATCATGGTTCTTTTTCCAAAAACAAATGTATTAATTTATTGGTGTCCTATTATATTTGATTTGGTGCTATGTATATTCAGCTAATGAGTCCATAATTTGGATTTATTCTCATCTGAACTTTTTCTCACCAAACCTTCATTGAGGCTTGTGAAATTTTCTTTCCCGTTGTATATTATCACTTCACAACTTGTCTTTATTTAAGTGGATAAATTCAATCCTGCTTCTCCCTGAATGAACAATCTCAGGAGATCACGTTTATTAGGTCAGTGTCGTTTCCTTGTTTGCCCTCACCAAATGCACAGAAATGCACCAGAGATTTAGGCTAATTCCCACATTCCTGCTTCCGTCCGGCTGCACCTTTGGGTGCTGACCTGAGCTTAAGGCGGTGGGTGGGGGGGCAGTCTGCTCTGCGGCCGTGACTGTGCATCTCGCTGCTGTTGTTTAGTATTCCGCGGCAGGCCGTGGAGAATGGGAAGGGCCAGTCTGAAGCACACCAGTCTGTGGTTGTCTCCCCCGGCCCGGTATGCACCCCCCCACCCCTGTTAAACCAGAGATTAACCCCAAAACACACACTCCCCGCTTCCTCCAAGCCACTTGCTCAGATGAGGTGACTGGGGTTAGAGGGAAAACATGAGATTTCAGGACCCGACTACATTCTTTTAAATACTCTCTCATAACTGTCTGACATGCGTTTGAGCAAACGGAGGGATGTCCAGACGTCCGATTAAATTTGCCCCTTTTAAAGAGCCGATTTTGAAGAAGAGCTTCACTTATAATCTCTTTGTAGAACACCATTAAATGTCATATTCTAATGATAATGCTTCCTCATTCTGCATATTCCCAGAACACCCTCAGGTAAACCGCTACTGACCTTTTTAAACCTGAGAGAAAGTAGAAGAAAAAGACCTCCCACACGCCCACACAAACGCACACAGGGCCAGAAAAGCACCATGCATAATGTCCAATTTACTGTGGCAGCACTGGAGGTTGGTCATTTCTCACATATTATTATTAGATTACTGCTGTCGAGCACTTAAGCCTCTGCTCTGCCCCTTTCCGCTTGATTAATAGGAGACGACTGTAAATACAAATATTTCATAGCTGCCTTTATAAAAAATAAAAAAAAAAGAAGCTGCGGCACGGGCACAAATGAAAATATGTTCACACATGCAATCTGAGAGCTGCAACTTTGTTAGGACTAGGGCTTGTAAAAAAGTTATATTACCTTCCATTTCCCTCATTTTTAAGTCTTTCCTTACCTCATCACTCTTCAATTGATGAATTGGCTTGTCCATCTTTGTCACAAAGTGGTTTAAATGAGGATTTATTTTAATGTATTTTTATTTAGCTGTAACAACCCATGTCAAAGTATAGTAAGACAAATTAATGAATAATTTAGTGCACCCTCATTTTAAATTGTAATTTTTACCTCTTCAACTTAATGCTCTCCTTCTCGTCCCGCTCATCAAATCTCTCATTCTTCCCTAACCTCCCTTAACGTCTCATAAACATAAACTCCAATCAGTGAAAGGGATTTTATGGACAAAGTCTGGCAGGTTACAGTCGTCAATGACATGGAACACACACACACACACACACACACACATACAAACACACACACACACACATATTCATATAGTGGAGGTCTGGAAGTCCTACAGAATCTTAGTTCTGTCATTCTGAATTTATCTCCCGTTTTGACTTTGGAATCAGGAACTGTTTATAAACTTGAACTGACTCATTCCCTGCAACTGACCCTTTTAACTAAAGATTTTGATGGGATTGAGCAACCGTTTGTTCCCACTGCAGGTCTTTCTTTTCTCACAGTCTTAGTTCTGCTGTAGTGGACCTGCTCTGTAACCGTCGGGGTTATGACATAACGATGATCATCTGCATAGAAAAACACACCTCTGCTCCTCTCTGTCTTTTCCAGTCCCTGCTGCTGTCGGTGCACATCAAGCGTGAGGGAGAGTCTCCTGTGGTCTCGCCCCTGTCGTCCGAGGATGCCCACCACTCCGACAGATACCAGGTCACACTCACACACGCACACACACACACACAAATGATAGCCTTAAATTAGTCTGTGTCAAAATCCAAACTTTCTGACAGCTGCATAAGAATATTTCTGCAAGCAATGTTGCACTGTGAGCTCATAGAAATGCATCAGATTGATTATTACAAAGCAGTAACGCTACTTTATGATTAGGTTTTTTCAGAAAAACAGCTAAGCGACATCTTTGAAAAAAGTGCTCGATCAGACAGCCCTCAATGCCTTCCTGAGACCCAGATGCTATGTTGACATTCATTAAAATGCCACAAAAATGAAGAATGTACCAAATCAGGAGACTCCCATGATGTATTGGACAAAATAATAAATTGCTGTTATCATGACACATAACAGTGCAGCTGGAAAATATGGTGGATTTGGGGTTTTTATGCCTTCTCAGCAGTTAAGTTGACTAACAGGCCAATCTCTTTAAATCTCAGATGTCACCCTGACTGCTTTTATCTCTTCTATTCATCAAAGTTTGTTCAGGTAATTCCTCTGGCCATGATGTATCTCAGGGTTAAGTGGGTTTCCCCCCTAACACCATAAAATAAGAACTATTAAGTCCATGCAGACGTTACATCCATACGTTCAGGATGACACAGCTCATAAAGACCTTCCGGCAATAAAGGAGATTTTCTCATTAAGTGAAACTGCTGAAATCACCTTATATTATACAAATGATTAAGTCAATGGTGACTCTTTTTAGAACCCTGAGAATAAAGCATTATGGGAGAATCTGCCACCTCCTCTCTGCCAGTGGGTCTGAGTGCTCTCGGCCTTCTCCCGCCTTTCTAAAAACCTGACCTATCCTCAGCCATTCAGTGAGTGTATCGTAATGATAAGGTTGAAGCAGTGATGTGAAGCCCGAGTAGGCCAATAACTCAAGTGTCGGCAGATAGCGAAGGAGAGAGGAAAGAGCTACAAGGGGGAAGGTGAAGGCCTGGGTGCTTGACGACTCCCTGATAGCAGAGAGGTGGACAGTAAGAAGACAGTTAGACTGAGACAGGAGATCCATAACGGAGAGCGCCTCTGCTTTAGTCAGCACATAGTAAGGACGCGCAGGCCTCTGGGTTTGAATCCCACTGGACCTGAGGCGTACATTCAGCAAGAGACATGACCTCAATTAATTTCATAATACTGTACTTTTATTGCTAAGACCATTATTTTTAATGATGCAGGTAATTTCCCCCAGGCTTTCCGAACAAGCTAGGACATCAAATGCTTCACAAATGCTTTAAAAATGTATGCTAAATAATTGATCCCGTTGCTGGAAGGGATTGAAACTAAATTTAAGTACAATATTGTGCAATGTTTACTTCTCACGCCATTCAAGAGGGAAACAGTGTATTTAGACTGGAATGCAAATACTGGCAGTTAAAAATAGCATATGTATAAGATTATGAAACAACTTTTATTTTCCTGCTTTTCTGGCCCAGGCTTCTATGCAACCATTAAAAGGGAAATGTCTCTCTAGTTTGGATGCTTCATATTTGCAAAGCAGCACATTTTAATAATAAATAGATGTAAAATAAATAAATAATTACCATTGATATTGGACAACTGGACGTCACCTTCTGTCAACTCTGGTCCCATTGTTTGACACATTTGTATTTATTGTCTATGAAAGATGTGAGTGAGCAATATTTTCTGCAAAGATAGTTTGCAATTTTTTTTAATTACAAGCAGGATTGTGGGCAAAGACTTGGAGGCAACAGTTAAATGTGGCTGAACAATAGCACAACACGCTGTAGAGCAACTTTTCAGAGGACTGTAGCTGAGTGTTAGCTGGATAATCTGCTTCTACAGAAGCCGTTCTGTGGCCACATCGCTCTCTGAAACCCGTTGCTGCCCCCTGGCGGCGAAGATGCGAAACAACCGGTGACGTTCCGCTACTTCCGTTTCCACCGCGGTCACGTGATCAAAACAAGCCAACATGGCGTCCAACACAACCAATATTTCCGTTACGGGCGCCACTTTCAATCCTTTTCCATCCGTTTAAAATTGGAGACACGGCGCGGAATTCGTAGCGATGTGCGGTGTCCGGACACACACTCGAGCTGTTGGCAGCAGCGAGTTTTTGCGGCCGCGGAAGAAGCCGTGACAGAAAATCTGTCAAGTCATGGAGGATGTGGAAAACAAGAGAGAAGTAGGTGTAATTGTTTACCCTGCTCAGGTTAAGAAAAGCAGCCCCCAGCATCCAGAGCAATCCCACTCTGAGCAGCAGGAATTGTGGCTGTAGATGCAGCGGTACTCCTCCACAGTGTCTAACGCAAATGTCCCCCCTCTCCTTTCCCCCCCCCCTCCTTTCTTCTTACAGACATTTTTACGAGTTCGGGCAAACAGGCAAACGAGATTGAATGGTAGGTATACACAGGACTTCATCTCCTCTACACATAGCCAGGAGGTCTCTACATGATTTTCCTTAAATGTTAAATAAAAGATGTCCAACATATTGGAGAATGAGGTGAAAATCAACTATAAATTCAACAGGGAAACACTAAAGAAAATGATGTAATGTGGTGTGACATAATGGGAATATTTACATGATTAATTAAATCTGTACAGTATTCATTTTTAATCGAGGGACATTTTACCACTTCATTACCCAGTTTAAGCAGGGACAGGGTGTTTAAGTCATTCAGCTTTAAGGACTAATAGTTTTGTTTATATTTTCATTATTTCCTTTAGAGAGGGTTTTTTTTAAATCACATAGTAAAGTATATTTTGAGTTAAGTGAAAGTTAAGTGAGTCTGTGGACACATTAATGTATCACACATGATTTGTGACCCATGAAGATACAGAGTAATAGAACTCTGTTTTATATTTTTATTTGTAGCTTTCCCAGCTAACCAAAAATGAACGACCCAAATCGGCTTTCCCAGTTAAGAAAAACCAACAGAAACTGACCTTTACATCTCTAATTGAACATTGAAAAATATACAAAGTTAGAAATGAAAGGAGGGGAAACAGAGGGAGGGGGGAGGACTGAGGTGGGGACATAGGGATGCATCTTCCTGAGCACAGCCCAGCAGGAGGAATGTTTAGCCTGAGCACCCATCCCTCAGATTTGGGGGGTCCTTTTGGGCGGTACTGTGCATTTCTGTGTATTTCTCTCTGGTAAGATGAGTCCTGTGCAGCAGTGAGCTCCATTCACACACACACACACACACACTAACACACACTAAAAAGGTCAACAGCAAAGATTGATCTCCCTTCTGCTTTTTCTCCCTTTTGCTCCCCATGCTCATCCAGCCCGTATAGGCAAGATGAAGAGGAGGAAGCCAGAGGAGGGGGGCCAGGTATGTCCGCTGTGCAGTGCCCCATTGGCTGGGAGCGAGGAGGAGATGAGTAGACATGTGGAACAATGCCTGATCCAGGTAGTACACCCCGGGCCCAGAACCCTGCCTGCCGCCTGCCGGACAGCCTTTCTCTTCCCTGTAGACTCTCTGCAGAAAAGCCACCCGATAGATCTGTCCCACTAGCTGTCGAACACCTCCTGACTTCCTTTCCGTGGGGGTGGATTGCAGTCGCATCATATCGGGTTAACTGTCTGAATGGCGTGAGCATCAGAGAGCAGCGCTCGCGCCTGGCTGTCCCCGGTCGGCCCCCACAGGCTCCGTTTCCAGCCCGCCGCTCAGACCTGCAGTTTATCCCGTATGACACGGCTGCAGCTCATCCTCTGTCATGTCAGAGCTCATCAGTCACGTCCTCTGTGTGTGTGTGACAGAGGAACTGGCTCTTCCTGCTCTCCATGTTTCCCACGCGGGCTGTTCGTCCCGCCTTCTGTCCTAGAGTAGACCAATCAAATCATCAGCGCTCGATGCCTCTTCTCCTTTACTTCTCCTCACTCCTTTCTCTCCCATCAAACTAGCAACAGATACTAATTCCCGTTATGGACCTCTGGGTGGCAAAAAGACAGCTGGCTCAACCACCGCAGACTCTTTGACCCAAAGCGTGTCTGAAATGGCAAAGAGCAGCTCGACTACCCACAAATGAATTTTGTTTTGTTTTTTGACTCATTTCTAAAAAGGCAATCAGAGAGAGCCCTCTCTTTCCTGTGACTGCTGGAGTCTGACGGGACGTTTGAATTAAACACCGTTTGCATTTTAGGGACTTGGGTACAAGTTTTCGGCAGAGCTTTTATTTTGGTATAGAATGGCCTCCATTCCCCCAAAACGACCCCTGTGGGGGGTAAGGTGAGGTCCTGCCTCTGTGGGCCCCCGGTCCTGACAGCCACAGCACGCTGAGCGTTTTGCCACTCAGGAGGCCTCAGGGACACGCCTCTGAATCAGTTTAACCTCCGGGTCTGTCAGACTTTGTGCCTCCATGTGGTAGCGGTGGTACAGGACAGGTAGAACCTGGTGGTGGGGGGGGGGGGCTGTCTTCCACTGCCCCTCATCTGATCAGATGTAGGGATCAATTAGGGATCACTTTACACGTCCTTTTCTTTTCAGAAGCGTTTGGTTTAATTGTTTTTTTCCCAAAAGCCACCCCCCCCGTGCTCAACTCTGCCCCTGTGTGTGTTCTGTGTGCCAGCGCGAGGGCGCTTTGGGCGACGACGACTCCGCAGACATGGATGGAGAGAATGGGCGGGGCTTTGAGGAGTACGAGTGGGCGGGGCAGAAGAGGATCAGAGCTACCGCTCTACTGGAGGGCGGCTTCAGAGGTAAGAGGCACTTTCCCCCTCTCCCAGCAGAGTGTGTGGTGATGCGGGTATTCCGTTTGCTGGACCACCTGCTGTCCCTCCTCGGCTCCAGCCTCACCCCCCCAGAGCAGCACGTCCCCCTTCCCCCCCCCCGCCTCTGCTCATCCATCATTCACTGAGCCCCGGTCTGCCGTGAGCTCTGCTCCTGGTGTGGGAGCGCGGTGGGATGTGGCCAGGGAGCTGTGAGGGTACCAGTGGTGCGGTGGCAGTGTGGACTGGCCCCCAGGTCGGACTGGCCCTAGGTCAGCCTGGCTCGGCTCGGCTCGGCCCCACACAGCCCCTCTAGCCAGAGGAAGGAAAACACATTTAGTTGGGCAATTGACCCGCCGGTCGCTGCTCTGTGTGCGCGCGTGTGTGCCCAGAAATGCAATTATAGGAGTGGATGGGGAGCTGGTCGCCGGGGAGCGGGGGCCGCTCTGTGACACAGCACCGGCCGCCAGCAGCCACTTAGCTCTCCATCTCACTCTCACTCTGATGTCTGCGCTCAATCCCACACATTCTTTCATTATTCCCACTACATCAGACTTATTTCATTCTTCATTTAACTAAGCTGTCTTTTTTTTAAAAAAGCTGTTGCAGTGGTTGGGGCTAACCGGGTCTCTAAATGTGTCTGATCTCTATGAATGTTTTTGCGAGATCGGAGCAAACCAGGCAGACGTAACGTTTTTAAACCAGGCCTCAGCTTCATTGTGCTCCATGGCCTCCCGTTTGGCCTCAGTTGTGTAAAACAGCAAAAGACAGACAGACAGACAGACGCGAGCCATTAAGATGTGCACAGATGGAGGAACAGGGCTGCAGTCATCTCAGAGAGGCCCTTTCAAACTCTCCGGGCTCCTCTCCCGCTTTCATGTGTCCCTGTCCCTGTTCGATCTGTTGTTCAACACACATGCAGGGCCTCACCTGCCTCCTCCTCCTCCTGCAGAAAGGAGACAAGACGGATCAATGCTGAATTCTCAACTAAACCGCAACAAAGTGCAGCTCTTAGTGTGGGAGGTGGCTTCTCCACCTCTTCATCCATCTCCCAGGCGCTCTCCCTCCATCGGTCCGCCTTTCTTCCACATCGTTAAAGCGGGCAGACACTGGCTGGACCCTTCTGTCGCGCTCTAATAAGGCAGCCTGTGATGTGACGCAGATAGCTGAGGTGGCCCGGGGAGAGCAACTTGAAACGCACACACGCAGACACACACACTCTGGCAGAAGGCTCAGAAGGTGGATTTAGCCTTGAAAGCTCCCCATTGGTTCTGAGAGCGGGCTGAATCCAGAGGGCCCTCCGGATTCAGCCGGCCGCTGGCTGGACGGATATAGAGCTGTTGCAGGGGGTCTCCTCAGCTGGCCAGATGAAGAGAGGGCCGATTCCTCTGTGAAGTGGAATCATCCTTCCCTCCCTTTGAGAGCGCAGGGAAGAAAGGCAGAAGGCCCAGGAGAGGAGAGGGAGAGGGGGAAAAATCGAACAAGATCAGTATATGATTCAACTCTGTGTGAGTGAAGACTTCCCTGTGTCTGGCACCGGCTTAGCCGGGTTGAAAGGAGCCGTGCGGCTAAGATAGAGTCCTCATTTTATCAGTGCAGTGGACATTCTGCCTACGTCTGTTTTTCTGAGCTGCAGAGGAACCAGATTTAACTTGAAAAAGTCTCTATTTAGGGGACAAATTTGAAAGAGGTTTCTCTAATGTGTTGGGGCTGGCATTTGTTTTTTCTTTTATCTCGTTTTGTTCCCATCCAGTAATCTAGAACAGCCCACATTTCAGTTTAATAATAAGTCAATCTGTGGGATGAAGAAACTGGACTTCTTTTCAGAACAGATGAACCTCATTTAAGCGTGCTCCTATTTTTATTTGACATTGTTGTTGATGATGGTCGCCAAAGCTGAAACTCAGGCCTCGACGCATATATAAGAACTATTTAGATCCTCGTAGGATTTTTTTTTTTTTTAGAATAAACATTGTCAGAACCTCTTTTAACAGGTCAAACAAATCCTAAAATACCGAAAATAATAAAACAATGATAATCAAAAGTTCAGCTAAAGCCGGTGGTGAGGCAGCAGACAGATGCTGGTGTTTGTTCCCGGGTTTTCCTGAGAGACAGAGGAGGAGGAGAGGGGATTACTGCGGCTGAGGAGAAATCTCTGCTTTGTAGGTGAACTTCAGAGATGGCCGTCTCATGCCTTTGTGTCTGTATCCCAATCCCCATAGCACGCCCCCCCATTGTGACCTGTAAATGGCAGAAAGATAGTGCAGTGACCTTTGACCCACCTCCCTGTTAGACTCTCGGGGTGGGGGGGGGCCTGATAATTGCTATGGAAACAGGGCGTTACAGAGGTGGGTGGGTCTGTGTCAGCCTGATGAGGGCTCTGATCCGGCCCCCCCCGCTCACATCTGCTCTCAGGGCCTTGTTGTGGTGACATGTATGTAAATTGAGGGTCTCTTTTATTGCTGTCACGAGCGTGTAACAGTGAGGATGAAATGCGTAGTTAACATGCTCAAGAGTCGGCGATCTACCGGAGATGGGCGTGATAATGAGGCAGACCGAGACTGATGTGTAGGAGTAAGTATGCATGTATATTGATTCATCCAGGGGGAGCAGGACTAGTACCAGCAGGATGGAGAGAGAAGGACATCAAAACACCAATAAGTGAACTACTGTCAAGAGAAAAAAGAAAACCAGCAGGACCTGGTTTAAGAATCGTGTAAGAATTTTTAAAAAAATGAACAGAGTGATTTTACAGAAAGGATGGAAAAAGTCAGGAGAAAGGTAAAGAGAAGAAAAGGGGGAGGGCAGGGGGGGGCATCGATGCATAATGTGAGTGAAAGGCAGTTAGAGTGAGGCTGACCTTTCCCTGGCCAGATTAGATTGGCCTGCCAAGACTGCTTAGAGGGACAGATAGAAGTACCGGGATCACACACATTCAGAGCAAACAGGCCACACCAACACGCCCCGGCGCCCAGCGCCACACATCCGCTCACCTAACGCTTCACGGTTTCAGGGGAAAGAACCGCTGCTGTACGGCTGCAGGCCGGGGGTCATTTACCCTCCCATCTGCCCGGGGAAGCCCATGATCGTTCAGATTAAAGTGCTGTTTTCATATTTTAACAGTCTAGCTGTCAGTCCTTTGAGCTCAGCGCGGCCCAAACCGGTCAGACATCTCAAAGAGACTGAGATACTGAAAAAGTAAAGAACCCACAGGGCTATTATAGTTTATTTAGGATGCCGGTGGGTCGACGGGGTCAGTGAACTGGACTGCTGTCCTTATTCGTACACAAGAGGGAAGTTTGGGTGAGAGCAAGTGGAAGTTTCTCAATGGGAGATAAGTCTAACATAAGGATTTTATTAGAGCAGTGCGATGGCCTGGAAATGCTTTAAATAGGAACTCTATATCTCAGCGGGCTCATTTTAATCAGTGAATCTGTGTTTTGTTTTGCTCTCCAAGGAAGAGGTGGTGGAGCGAAGTTAGCTTCTGAGTCTAGTTGAGCAAACCAGTCCTGGAGTCGTTCGTATCCCAACTACATCATCTGGTTATCTTGGTCGAGTTTTGCAAATCTCGATCTCCTAGAGTCGAGCAGACGTTACACAGTACCCACGGCTGAACCCCCACAGGGATGAGAACCACTCTGTCAAACTTCCAAAAACGTTCTGCGCTCACTTCCACGTGTTAAGAAAGC